TACCTAAACAAGTCCAGTTAGTTTGCACAATTCCTCACGGTTGCCTTGGATATGCTAGATGCTGGAAATCGACACCCTGCTTTGAAGGCGGGGACCTGGAGGTCCTGCTGGACAGGGTGGTGCAGAGGCAGGCATCTCTCTTCCCCTAGGACTGGTAGTGGATACTACTAAACCAGACCATGCCTGCCTTTTCTGAGATCCGCATCCATATTAAAGTAGCCTCAGCTTCTGAAGAAACGTCCAGCACTGTAGTAAGAAGGTCAATGACCGTCTCCACTCCGCCATCTCACGTGCCACCAACTTCACTCTGATATCTCGTACTCGCCCTGTCTTTGCTACTATCTCACCTCCCAATAATGCTCCTGGCCAACCACTCTCACTGTCACCTGCAACATTTTCCCTCGCTCACTGTCACCCACCCCTCTACCCCATTAACCCACATGCTCTCTATGCTGCCTACTCAATCACTCTGGACACCCTCCCACCTCCAGTCAAAGTAGCAGTACTTTCAACCCCCTTAACACATGTCTCTCTTATTCCAGGAGGAAAACAGTTCATAGTGGGGCAGAAAGATTCAAGGTGGATGGTGAGCTGCCTGATATTCAGCTCCTCACACTTTATGTGGAGTGCATCTGACTCTGATTGGCCTGACTGGCTTACCATTTCCAAGCTCTTGGACTGGTATCGAACTGCCCTTGACTCACAGTGTAAGGACCAACTGACTGAAGGCTATACCCATGACTTGACTGAAGCCTTCTAAAAACCATGACAAGCTTCCTTCTTTTGTATCTGCACTAAATAACAAGTCAACAGTGAAGCATTATCTGCCTGGTGTCACTGGCTGAGGGGGAAACGTGCAAAAAGGCCAGGTTGCTGTCAGCGTCCAAGTAAGCTCAGTGAGCAAGCAAAGAGCACGGAGAAGAGAGTCGATGAGATGGGTGTGTGCCCCTGTGTAACATAATGTCCTTGCAGAAGTTTTACGATGTTTATTACTAGTACACTGTTGAAATGCAGAAGTGGATCAGAGATGTTTCATGAGGATTTTTGAAGGCTGGCATGTATTGGGTGCCAATGTCTGTGGATGTGAGGTATGTGTGGGCAGGTACCCTTTGAGCATATCCTGAGATGTTCGCGCCTGGTGTCCAACGTGAAGGTTGTTTGGAGCAATCATTGCGCTGAGTCGACCGTGGTTTCCATGTCAGGTTTTTTCAATGTTCAGTGCATTTGTTAAGATATAATGTTGAATGTTAATTAAGCAAGTTGGGGTGTTTGTGTTATTGGATTATGGAGCAGACTTGAAGTGCTGAATGGCTTACTCCAGACCCTATTTCTTGCGTTCTTTTTTGAATTAAAGTTGGAATAGAACAAGCACATACCAAATGTATTCAAAAACAGCAATTGCTGGAAAATATCAGATCTGACAGCATTGGTGGAGACAAAGCAGAGTTAACATTTTGGGTCCAGTTTTTGCCAGACCTGAGATTTTCCAGGTTTTTGTTTCTGATTATCAGCATCTGCAGTTCTTTACCAAACGTATTCAAGTGGTGTAATTTTGTACATGTATGTTGTCTAATATACGCATCAGAAATGATGGCCACTTTAAGGATTAACTAGACTAGAGGAATAATATTGATTGAAAGCATGTAATGCTCACAGAATCAAGCTTTTGGTCCATTAAGTATGAATTGACAAAAACAGTTCTAAATCTACACTAGTACCATATTTCAGCACTTGGTCCATCGCCTTGAAAGCTCATCCAAGCACTTTTTAAAAGTTGTAAAGTTTCCTGCCTCAACTGCACTCCCAGGCACTGCATTCCAGATTCATGCCAACTTCTGCATGAAAATAGTTTCCTTCAAATCCCTTTCACCTTAAAATTATATGGTCTTATCATTGATCCTTCAATGAAGGAGAACAATTGTTTTCTATCGACTCTGTAAACGCCCCTCATAATCTTGTACATCTTAATCGCAATCCTTTTCTCAGTCATGAAGGAAACAACTCTAGCTTATCCCGTGCCTCTTCATCGTTAAACTGCTCTATCCCAGGTAACATCCTGGTGAAACCCCTCTACACTTCCTCCAGTGCAATCACATCCTTCCTGTAACGTGGTGACTTGAACTTCACGCTGTACTCCAGGTGTGGCCTAACTAAAGTTTTGTACAGTTCCAACACTGCCTATCTGCTGTAATAATCTGTGCCACAACTGATAAGTCGTTCCTGTATGCTGTCTTAATGATCCTGTTAACCTGTCGTGCTGCCTTTGGGGATCAGTGGGTAAGTACCCCAAGATCCCTTTGTTCCTGTGAATTTCCTGGAGTCCTGCTATTCATTGAGTACTCCCTTGTCTTGCTGCTTTTGCCAAGGTGTATCACCTCACAGGGTTAAATTTCATCTGCTATTGATCTGCCTATTGGACTTTGTACTTAGGGTCTGAGGTTTGACCAACCTTTGGACCAGGAGGCCAGTGTTCAAGTCTCACTTGCTCTGGAGCTGTGGAATAACACTTCTGAAAAGGTTGATTTTAAACAAATCTTAAGTACTAGGGTTGTTAAGGTACAACTGATTTGGTGGTGAAAGGAAAAGGAGAAAAGTAATTTGGTGGTGGAAAGAAACCATTCAATACTGCATGAAAGCATCCCTAGATAGGTAACAAAAAAAAAAGCTCTAGGGCTTTGAAAGTCTTGTGGCACACTGGTAGTGTCCCTACCTTTGGGCCAGGTGACCAGGGTTCAAGTCCCATTTGTGCCAGAAATGTGTCATAACATGTCTGACTTAGGTTAATTTTTAAAAATCTAGAAAAAGGTGAATTTGCGAATGGCATTCAAAGACTTTATAAGGAAGGGTGGTTGTACTGTACTGATAGTGTACTTGCCTTTGAATCAGGAATCCAGGGTTCAAGTTCCACCTGTGCCAAAGATGTGCGATAATGGAAAGTATCTTCAAGATTTTAGGACTTTTAGGACTCTTGTCATGCAATGGTAGTGTCCCTACCATTGAACCAGAAGGTCTGGTTTCGAGTCCCACCTGTGTCATAACATATCTGAATAGGTTGATTTAAAAAAAATTTGGGACTCTTCGAGTTCTTGTGGTGCAATGGTAATATCTTTACCTCGGCCAGGGCACCCAGGTTCAAACCCCACCTCATCTAAAGGTATGAAATAACATCTATGTATAGGTTGATCGGAAAATAAGTTTAAAAATTTTTCTAGGGCTGTTTTAGTATAGTGGCAAGGTCAGAAGGCTAGATGCAGGTCCTACCTGCTTTGGAGGTGTGTCAAAAGATATCCGAACAGGTTAATTAAAATATCAAGGGCTGGACTGCCTGCCTAACTTTTCTTTATGCGTCCTTAGAATGGGAGCACCCAGTCTCCACTAATGCCCCTGAACCTTTTAGGGATAGGTGGGCATGCGGAGTCAGGGGTGGGTTATCTTCCTCTTGTGGTATAAAAGTTTAATTTCCCTTAGTTTTTCTCTTTGGTTAATATTATTGTTCCTAATTGGATGGGTTTTGTTTCTGTTGATTTAGTGATATAGTGATGAATAAAAATTGCCCACTGGGGTGTTGGCTTCTGGACAGAGAAGGTAATGAGTGGCATTTGTGCTAAACTGCAGTTTTCCCCTGAAGCCCTTGTAAACTTCTGCGTAATTCAACATAAGAGAATCAATCTTTTAAACACATTTCTATAGCTTGAAGACACAATCTCTTCAAAAACTAATGTTACTAACAAATTTTAAAAACTCAGTTCATTAAGCTTAACTTGTTATAGTTAAGTTATCATTGAGCGTGTTGTATGTTCCAAAAAGAAGTATGTGAAACAAAGGAGGAGGAGGAGGAAGAGGTAGTACTGAGGTTTAATCTGAGAAGATGTGGCAAGTTATGGAAGAAAATATGTTTTCATTGGAATGGAAGAAGACTACGGAAGGACATGAAGGTTTGTAAACTGAAAAACTGTCATTGACTGATTGTGGAGATTCTACTCGTTGAATATAGAAAGATAAATTTGGGACACTAAATTCAGATCTGTAAATATTATTAACAAAGCATACTTTAAGCAGCAACTTCTTGAAACTTAACTTTTTAAGAATACATTACCAATAATCTCTCAAATAGAAAAAACAAATAACCTTTAAAGATCAGCTGGCACACCAAAGCATTTTACATCTGAAGAATTACTTTTTGAGGTACAGCCATTACTATGATGTCGGAAACACGGAAGACAATTTCTGCACATCAATGTGTCTCAAATGGTAACATGAACATCCTCTTCCTATGTGTAAAATAAATGAAACTCATGAATGTTTTTGTGTTTGATAGAAGGTTGTAGTGGTTTTTTTTTAAACCTAAGTGTGAGAGGAAAATGTAGGGCAAGTAGCGGACTCAAATGTGACAGAAACGATATAAATTTAGCGGATGAACTAGCATTCAAAATCCTGAATGTGGATGGAGGAAGAAGACATGTTCCGCATCTGAATACCTCTTCTCAGGCTACCTCTAGGACTTGGACTAGTTCTCTGCAAAACAGAGCACTTTAACTGATGGTAATTTTCAAAATAGCAAAGAGCTTATGTGAAGTAAATGGTTGTTAGAATCAGTAATGAATAGATCTAAGATTAAGCTCAGGTTTTAAAAACAAGCTAGGAGTTTTTTTTTCTTTTTATGTCAGGATATTTGACAGAATGATCTACACAAAACATGGAATGAAGCAGAAATTATAATGTACTTTGAAAATTAAGTCACTAAGTGTTTGAAAGAGGAAACACTAAAAGTGTGAAATGAAGGAATATAACCAACTGCAAAGGGCTCCCTGAAAGCTGCATAGATGGGATGGATTGAATAGCCTCTTTCTGTGCTGCATAATTCAGATATCCCTGTACTTCAGTATCTGTACTATGATATATGTCTGTAGTTCCAATTGTCTTTCTTAAGACAGAAATTTAATATAATTAATGAAAATGTTAATGTTTTTATTGAAACTGTCCATTATTTTTCTTTTTAGTGTGTACACCAGTGGGTCTATCCAGAATGTTCACAGTAATGGGACAGTTGCTAGTGAAGCCTACAGTAAGTAACAAAAAAATTGATTGCAGTGCATAGCCAATAGTTATGCTTTGATATGCATCTGATGAACAGAAAGTGTTCCACCTCTAAATTGACCATTCGTGTTCCAGATTTATTAGCTGTTAATTTTTTTGTTATAGCATTGGCCCAGATCTGCTACAAAGAAATCCTTATGGGCCTGTCCGAAATCCAGATGTGCTGACACCGCAGGGATTGCTTGGGAAATTTCTATGGTCACGATAGGCAATTCCCCAGCACCTTATGTGAATATGTACTACTCTGATTTCGAATCAGATATTTGGAAAAGATTTGCCTTATTTACCTTGATAGCTACCAGTGAAACGTTAGAGCGATGAAACCATGTTGAACTCCTGGGTAATGACACAACTGAGACTTTGATGCTCTGATTCTTTTACTTCCTAACCCCAGTAGGATTTCTATCCTTGTTGGATACCTCTGCAATGACCAGGTTCCTTGGGTTGGTTGTTTGACTCTGACTTTCTGTCCTACATGCAGATTAGGTTATTCTGCACTTGCATGACTGTCATGCTATTGATTAGCATTTTGAGAAGTTAGTCCTGTGAAAGTTTGGCAGGGTTATCCTAACCTGCCTGCCAAAACAGGACAGACGTTCTGAGGAAGGGTCCTGACCCAAAACATCAACTTTCCTGCTCCTCCAATGCTGCCTGGCCTGCTGTGTTCCTCCAGCTCCACACTGTGATATTTCTGGCTCCAGCACTGGCAGTTCTAACTATCTCTGCCCTGTTTCAATTTTGTTTAAGGCATTTTCCTGTGGTTTACAAGTTTACATCGCTGCTTTTTTTTCCCCAGGAGAAATGACTCCTGATCACCTTGTCTTCTTGTTTTGTTTCACTTAATACTGTCTTACCACTTTCATGTTTGATTGGCAAGATTCAATTTACGTGAAAGACTCAGATAGATTTACTTAATAGAACTGATGAATTGCAGTTACCAAGACACTTAATATATACAAATTTAAAAATATATATATCATTTATTGCCACATATTCAATGTAAAAATATAGTGAAAAATGTGTACCTTTGTCATACATGGTGCCATTCACATTAACTCAGAATAAGGTAAGATAAAAAAGATAACTTAAGAGAGTCCAACTTTCCTTTCCATGGCCGCAGTCCCACTCGGGGCTTTTCAGCCCTAGCTATGCAGAGTTCCACTCTGGGCTTTCCAGCCCATGCCATGTCACTGCCAGTGCCCCGTTCTGGGCTGTCTCACTGGCCTGTTCTCGGTTGCCTCACTGAACCGATCTCGCTGCTGCTGCCTCGCTGTTCTGCTCTCTCCAGCCCACACTTGATCTGCCACCGTTTCTGTGGCCCACACTTGATCTGCCGTCGCTGCAGGACACAACCCATGTGTTCAGCTCCCGCGAGGTTGTTCCTGGTAACGATCTGGCTCCTTCTCGACTCCTTAGATAGGTAGTTAAAAGAGGTGGTGGGAGGGATAGAATTACTACAGAGGGAGAGAGAAGGAGGAAAAAGAAAAATGGAAGGACAAATAAAGAAAGAGAGAGACAACTGGCGAGCAGAATGGAGCTCCGAATGGACTGACTTACCCTGCCGCCAACCTTCTGGAAGTACACATCCTTAGTACAGCATACTGCTGTTTGAACGTGTCACGTGGTGTTGGCCTCATCATTGGTTAATTTCCATATTCAGGTTTTAAAGCAACTCAGCTCGACCTAATAAAACAATAACTTCCTTCTGACTCCACCTCTGACTCACTTAGACCTCTTCAACCTTCCTGCTGACTCCCTGCAATCTCCCATGCTGGACACCCCCTCCCACCCCAAACTCCTTTTGACTCCTCTGGATACTCCGATCCCCTTGACTCTACCTTGACCTGACCTGACCTGACTCAGCCACCATTCACCCACTTACACTGTTTTTTAAATACACATAGTTAAATGTCTAAAAGCTTTTTAGAATGCTAGTAAATAAAGATTTGTCGGAATTTGATGGCTAGTGCTGGGAAAGTGAGGTGTGGCACTGACCCACCCTCTTGCCTCCACCACTGATGATTCTGCACTATGAAGAGGATCTCCAACGGAAGACAGCTCACTGGACTTGTGAAGAGACTGAATCTGTTTGGTTTCTAAAAAAAGTGTAGGAGAGGGTAGTAATCAGTCAATGATTGACTGCTGCTCCTCTGATTTGGCCTAGTATGTGTGAAACAATAATTGATACCTCTGTCAGGAAGGATACCAGGCATGAGTGCTCCTGGTATAGAAGCAGAAATTGCTGAAGAAATTCAGCAGTTCTGGCAGCATTTGTGCAGAGGAAACAGTTACTGTTTCAAGTCCACTGACCCTTCTTCAGAACCATATGCTCTTGGTATACTTTGTAGTGTGCTTGAAACGTAACGGAAAGATTTGTAAGGGAGCATTAAAATTTAGAGCTGACTCATGTAGATTGTGTTAAGTGTGTAATATTTCTGTATTGAAAGGCATTTTAGTTGATTCTTTTGCTAAGTCTTTATTGAAAGAAGACTTGTATGTTCTTTCTAGCAGTTTTAACAGTCTGATGTCATGTTCAGTTTACAGCCTTTAATGGTAAGACTATACAATATAGCATGAAGTGGAATTCATTTGAAGAAAACAGATTGCCAAACCATAGACAAAATTAATTAAAGCTGAGTTTTTGAGTTCCTGGAGACATGAAGCTCTCCATTTTGTCTATCTCTTCTTAGACCAGCTTCAACAAATGTTACCACATTGCATATGAACACGGATGCCCCATGTTCCTCTTTAACTTTTCTCTGCAGCATGGGCATTCCTCTTTTGTCTTGAACTTTTCAATGCACTTGCTTCTTTAACTCTTCTATTTGCTTCTTGCTGGTTTCATGATGTCCAAAATCGCAACAAAATTTGGTGAAGATGGTAATCTATTCCATTCTCCAGACTGGCACACTGTCTCATTCTTGGTCCACTGGATTTTTAGCTCATGATGTTGCTGGTCCTTATTGTTGAGCCTTTGACTTTAAAGCTACATGAAGAATGAGGAGTGATCTTATTCAAGCGCACAAGATTCTAGGGCTCTTGACAGGGTAAATTTTGAAAAGATGTTTCCACTAGTGGGGGATCTCAAGTAAGAGAAACACTCATCTAAAGCTGAGATGCAAAGGAATTTCTTCTCTGAGGGTAGTGAATGTCTGGAACTCTCTACCCTGGAGAGTTATGGAGACTAGATTGCTGAAAGTATTTAAAGAGGAGAGAGATACATTTTTGAAATACCTAGGCGTTGAGGGCTATGAGGAGCTGGTACAAAAGACAAGTAGAGGCTTTAAGTAGATTAGCCATGATCTTGTTGAATGGTGAACAAACTTGAGGAACTGAATAACCTACTCCGGTCCTGTTGTATGTTCATATGAATGTTTCTGCTTTGTGCTTATATATAACCTAGCCTGTTGTTTGCTGTTCACCCTGTCCTCCATTCTGCTTTGTTTATGCTATGTTTAGATCCTCAGCCTTATGCCCTCCTTTCTGTCTAGTTCTGTCCTCAATGCAAGTGACCTGCTACTAATACCTCTGATATTACAGGGTTGACAGCTGATCTACAAAGTGTGCTGGGTGATAAACAATAAGAAATAAACTTTCACATGTTTAGTTTAGTGTTTAGTACGATAATGTAGTTAATTGAAATTAAAATGGAGGCTATACATTTGTTCGACATGAAATCAGATAATATGTTGGAAAAAAAGGAATGTTAAAATATATGAGATAACAAGGTGCAGAGCTGGATGAACACAGCAGGCCAAGCAGCATCAGAGGAGCAGGAAGGCTGACGTTTCGGGCCTAGAC